CCGATTGGCGGCCGAGTTTCGAACGTGGTGGGGCAGAGGGCACTCCAGACGGAGCCGCGCTCGGCGATTGGCCGGCTTGACCGCGCGCCAGGCCGCGCCTTCCTCTCTGATTGGCTACGCGGCAAAGTACGCGCGCCGCCGCGAGGGGGATTGGATAGTGCGGCTACGCGCCGCAAGGCTTCCCAGAACCTGATTGGGAGTGGATGGAAGGCGTGCGTAACCCCGCCCCTTTGCTCAACGATTGGCTCCCTGAGTGCCAATCAGCTTGGTGGCAACGCCCTCCGCCGTTGGGGTGCGCCTGCGCAGAGGCAGGGTGCGCGGGGGCGGGCTGCGCGTGCGCGGCGGGCTGCGCGTGCGCGGTGTGGGGGGGGTGGCGGTGCGGGGCCTGAGTCGCCTGAGGTAAGCGGTGGCGGCGGTGGCGGCGGTGCCGGGGTGTCCCGGGCCCTCGGCTCTTACTGGGTCCTGGTGAGGCGCCGTTCGGGATTTACAGCCCGGCAGGGAGGCGGCAGGCCTGGGAGGGCCAGGGTGGCGGCGCAGGGACCGCCGAGCCGCGGGTGTGGGGTTGCCGAGCTCCGCTCCCCGGGCGGGCCGGGGGGGACAGCAAAGGTGGTGCTTTGCACAAGGCTTTCAGCAAAACTGTTGCTTTAAAAGAGTTTAATCACGGTGTCGCCGCAGCGTCACCGCCGATGTCCCGGCTGAGAACGGCCGGTCACTTCTGTAACTATTAGTTACATTAGGTACACTATTACACTACTAGATATTAGTGTTCTTACTGACACAGCTCTTCTGTGCTTAAAACCATAGAATCACAGAATGGTTCGGGTTGGAAGGGACCCTAAAGATCATCGAGTATCCCGGCTGAGAACGGCCGGTCATCTCTGTAACTATTAGTTACAATCCCATGAGCAAAGCTTTTTTTAAGAATTAAAGCGGTTTTAATTTTTCATTGTAAGGCGTGTGTTTCTTGGAGACTTCCTGGGCGAAGTGAAATCTGGAGAACGCTACTCTCTTCTCATTTTAGTCTTGCTTTGTAAGGGCACTATCGAGTCATAGAAATAGGCTTAGAGCGAACGTGATGTTTTTACCTTTATTGAGGTTGGGCAGCTTGGGGAGCCGTCTAGTCTTGCTTTGTAGGGGTACTATCGAGTCGTAGAAATAGGCTTAGAGCGAACGTGATGGTTTTACCCTTATTGAGGTTGGGCAGCTTGGGGAGCCGTCAGTCTTGGCTTCAAACTGGCAGTGCCCCGTTTAGACCTGCCGGTGAGTAAAGGCTCACCTCAGGACCAGGCAGAAGTTCTGCTCATGTTTTTCGGCGTGTTTTTTGCAGCTAAACCCCTCACCCTCCCCCCGTTACTACCTTCTAGTGCCACCAAGTGGACGTCTTTACTTTCCAATAAAAGCTTTCTTAAAAGTTACTATTTCAAGTTACATCCCACTTTTATGGATGTTTATTGCCAAGTGATTGCCATCTTCACATGCCGAAGTATTTTCTTCTGAATCAAATAAAATATTTCAAGCATCACAGCATGTATTGTTTTCATTGCTCACCTAATGCCTCATTGAAGCGTGCCGTTTGACAGCAGTAGGACCTGCCATTCCTCATTCCCCACCAGGATAACATATCCATATGTACTCGATTGCCATCTTCACGTGCTGAAGTATTTTCTTCTGAATTAAATAAAATATTTCAAGCATCACAGCATGTATGATTGCCATCTTCACATGCCGAAGTATTTTCTTCTGAATCAAATAAAATATTTCAAGCATCACAGCATGTATTGTTTTCATTGCTCACCTAATGCCTCATTGAAGCGTGCCGTTTGACAGCAGTAGGACCTGCCATTCCTCATTCCCCACCAGGATAACATATCCATATGTACTTTTCCTGCCTTTTTTAATAACTTGACCGGGGAAATACCAGCATGTGAAGCAGTAATTGAAAACCCAGTGGTCTCCTTACTCCTGGGTTCTTTTCCCTTCATCTTTATAGACCATTTAGAAAGTTCTGGGAGTAGAGCAGGATGGGCACGCTTGTTAACCAACATAGAGACCAACATAGAGAAATACTTCTGATTTGAAACAGGAGTTTTCCACATTTGCCCTATTAGATGACTCGCCAAATCCTACACACGCTACAGCCTGACCCCAAATTTGGAAAACTACTGTAATGGACCAAGGTCAAAAGACAAGTCTAGATCATGTAATATGTTCAGGGTAAGGATTACTGTTTCTTGTACTAACCTGGCATTAAAAAAGCATCTCAGAACTCAAAATCCTAAATCAGTCTGTAGCTGTAAACATACGTACCGGAGTTCTGCTGTGTAGCGTCAGTCAGCTGGCTTGACTGTGCAGTCACACATCCCTCTTACAGGTAAAAATCCATCTTTGCATTCTGACTTATTTAGTCCTCAAGCTCCATTCTGCCAGATCTGGTTTCTGATATCCATATCCACGGCACTGAAATGCTTCACATAGTCTTGCTCTTTTTTTTTGGATTGTTTTGTTTTCCCGCCACCTCCTCTTTGCAGTTGTCCATGACTGTGAACCAGCAAAGATGGGAAGCCCAGATGCTCTTAGGCCAGTTTCATGATGTAAATTTGCTGCTCCTTCCACCAGTTTTTTTTTTTTAATAGTTCAGAGCACTGTTTAAGGCAACCTCAGAAGAGGATTCCTGCACCCTTGTCTCTCCTCCCCAGATATAGTTCAAGCACATGTCAACATGTGAATTGCAGGTACAGTTGCCAGCAAGACACAACTTGGGCACAATTGGTGTGTCAGCAGAGGTTTCCCACTCAGATGGTACAGGTCTGACTGCAAGATAGAAACACTCTGCCTTTCTCCTCCTTTTTTTGGGGATATCTTTAATATTTTCCAACTGTTGGTAGGAGTACTAATTTATTTACTGTTTTCCAGATCCCTTTCAACAACAAAATAATAATCTTGACTATTTTAAGAAAGCTCATTGCAATGAGAACTGAAATCCCATTCAGAATGGTAAATATTTCAAGGCAAATGCCTATGAAACCAGTTCAAATATCCTTGAAATAAATCTGAGTATCAAAATACGGCTCAAGCCGTGCAGTGGAACTAGATCATCGTAAAACAAAGATTCTCACGGTAAACTCCATTCCCCCCTTCTGTTTCAGGTTTCATTCCAGAGAAGCTGTGTCCTCATTTCCGTATGAATGTTCCCAGTTTATTTCATTTTACATTCTTACTGAGTGACATTGACACCTCCCACCAGCCCAGGTGGCTCCAAGCCCCATCCAGCCTGGCTTTAAACACCTCCAGGGATGGGGCAGCTACAGCTTCTCTGGGCAACCTCTTCCAGGCTCTCACCACCTTCACAGGAAAGAGTTTCTTTCTAGTATCTAATCTAAATCTCCCCTCTTCCAATTTAAAACCATTACCCTTTGTCCTATGCG